CCCACTTGTGGAGACACCAGAGACAATTTAAATGCAAACACGGTGCAAGCATGTTATTAAATTTGCTTGCGCTGCGCAGAACAAATTCAGGGCCTTTTTCTAATGCCAGAGCTCTTCAGCAGGGCTCTGCGCATTGAACCAACATGCTCACTTTGAGAGGGAGCGTGCTTGTCATTAGTGATGACAAAACACACACTCTCTGGCCCCGCCCCCTTCTCAGGTCTCTGATTGAAAAATGCCCGGGCCTAATTTTTTTTCCCAGTCTGGCCCTGGAGGAGACACTGAATGTTTGGATGCATTTTAGGCAGCCATGACCCAGGAAGGATCTCTAACAGCCATCTAAGGAGTGGCCAGTGAAGTTATCACTAGGCTGTAATGTAAACACTGCATTTTCTCTGAAAAGACATTGTTTACAGCAAAAAGCCCGAAGGTAATGATTCTACTCACCAGAACAAATGCAATAAGCTGTAATTGTTCTTGTCACCATAGTGTCCCTTTTACTCCTACATGGAAGATAACTGAGTAGTGAGACTACTACTACTACAGTTGTTTTGGCACTTAGAGTGCCCCTTTAAAGACTCGTATTGGTCTTGTTAAGCATTGATCCAGCAGACCCATTTTTTCCCCCCAAAGAATTTCATAGTGAGACTTTCTGAGCATGTTTTCATGTGCCCTGAATAAAACAAACATAGTTGTTTTTCTTCATAAACAGTGTGCTGATCATACTGAGTATTATCATACTGATAATGAGGGTGATTAATTCTGTTTTAGCCTCAAAGACCAGTCTGTTACTATTGTAAATTCATATTCACCTAAAGCACCTTCTTTTTTTGGGGGGGGGGGACTCTCTGGCTTCCCCCTCTCCCCCACCCCCTTCCACAAGTCATGTGGAGGACTTGTTTTATTCCCAATTGTTTTATTATTCTCTGGTCTCGCAGGCTAAATTCCTCCCTGCTTAAAAGGGATATTCCAAGTAACATAGGTTCAGCAGAAGGAAGTTGTAATGGATGGTGAGGAGGTCCTCAATCAACAGTTTAATCATTTGGGGTAAACTGGTGCCAAAACGTTTAACCTCAAGGCCTTGAATCTAGCGCTCATCAACTCTGTACAGTTACGTGCGTTGTAGTCTGAGGCTTGATTCAGGACCTGATGAAAGTTTTTACCATGAAACTGAAACTTTGATGAATAAAGGTTGTTTTATTTTTATTTTATTAGCCCTAGAGTGCTATCCAGCTTTCTGATTTTTATTGCTGCAACAGCTGGATTCGAGCACCGATTCTAAGCTTCATTTTTGTCATTCCATGACTGCAGGTACTTTGGATGAAAAGTCTATATGTATATGTATCAAAAAATACCTTTGCGAATTTACATGTCATCTAAACTGATTGTGATGAATGTTTTTTTTGTTTATTTTCTCAATCTCAGCCCTTTAATTGGCATTAATTTGGTTTAATTCTACTGAACATTTAAACACACCAATTATTTCACATAATTTTTTTCCAGGCCATAAGCTGAGTTTTGCACTTCACATAATGATACAAGTAAATTAAATAGTGTACTCTAGATGGGTAGGAATGAACATGTATATAGCTACCCAGTTAAAGTTATTTATTAATAGTCTGTCTGTTTTCTTCCTCTGTTAGTAATGGAATGTTCTTGTTATACGCTCTCTATTCTGGGGGGAGAAAATCTGGGATTCCTTTATGGTCTGCATTATCGGGTGATAGACGCGATTCATTTCTGGGCTACGTTTCTCTTCTGCATTATAATAAAAGCCCAAATCAGGAAATATTTAACCAACGTGATAACAATCAGAGCTGGGATTCTATAGATTACTGCAATGTGCATTGACTTCTGTTTCGTAGATATGTGACCTGATTATTTGGTCAGACAGAGCTTTGAGAATAGGACTCTTGTCCATTCCTTCATGCCAAGAGTTAAGTCGAAATACAAAAAAATGTGTGTTTTGTTTTAACCGTCTGTCCCGTGCTCATCTGGACTTTTGTGTTGAAAACAGCTCACATTTTCCATTACAGTGGTTGTATTCCTCAAGATATAGCCATGAGCCAACTAACCATAAATAAAAAGGTAGTTTGCTTCTGTACGCATATTAGAAACGTCATATTCAGAAGTAGTCAAGAACGTTGAGAAATGAATAAAAACAATTCCATAGCAGGAGATGTGAGATACAGTTACACAAAATGTATTAAGCTTGTATTTCACACATTAAAAAAATAGCCAGCTCTATTCAATTTAAGTATAGTGGCATTCATATTAATTATCATAACTCATCAACATGTTCTGCAGCTCTGTGTGATATGATTATCTGTACATAAATAGGGTTATACGTAATCATATTTCTCAAAGTTCTACCCAGTTTCCTGCAAACTATTCTTACTGAATAGGACATTTTGGAGAAATAAAGTAAACAGAGTGCAGGTCAGGAGTCCGGATACAAGTCAAGGGCTCATGAGCTGCGCCACTGTAACCACCTAATAGGGAGCTCCAATGAGGGGGTAACCCTCCAAAATATGTAGGTAATAGGAGTAGGTGATGTGTAGAGTCCCACAAGGGGAAACCAACATCAGGGGAGCTCCACTATATAAGAAATGAGGATAGAGGGCCTACCTTTAATCAATCTAAGGATAAAAAGGGATATGCAAACAAAAAGTATAACTTGAAAAATAGGGAGATCTACTAAACGGTGTCCTGGGGATCAATTGTCTGGAGTACTAGCTAGCATCTAAGTTCCAGTTCCCCTAGTGTCCGACTGACAGGAAGGTAGTGTAAACGAGGTTAGGGAGAGAGAAGAGGCACAGGGTCCCTAGAGAACAAGGGACCGGGTAATCAGGTCTAAACGCAGATGAAAAGCCTCACACAAAAAAATAAATAAATCTCTCAATTTACCCTAAAAGTTACCTCGACACCGTGGTCTAACCACTAGTGTCTGCCTGAACCAACTCTCCCTACTAAAGTTATAAATAAATAAACACCTAAAATTCAATAACCATAGTGGTAACAAAAATTAAAAAGTGCTACCAAGTGCAGAGATTAAAGAAAAAGGAAACGCTCGACGCGCGTTTCGGTGTGTTCAAAACACGGACATTTTGCCCAATTTGTAATGGCTGCCGAAACTACAAATCAAATTATCAAATAACTGACAAGCTCAGAATCGATTTTACTTATACTTGTTAATAAGAATTAATAGGTAACATCACAAAAAGCAATATGAACAATAATTTATATATATATATATTTATTTATTTAGTACACAATATAGGAAGTATAGCATAACTGTGAGGAGTATGGAATTTGCTGTAGTCGGACTGGGTAAACGAATTATGATGCATTTAATAATTTTTTAGTATATTTAGTAAAGTCTAGTTTACTCGAATACATTTTTTCCATATCTTTTTTTTCACATTTTTGTAGTTCAGGCATTCAGTTGTTTGTATTGAAACTCAAGTATGTTGCAACTATAATCAACATAACAATCTGAGATTCCTAACTCCTAATTCTCTTGTGACTAATAAAAGTAAACTTCTATTAACTCAAAATTTGTACAAACTGTTACAGGAAAAAATTGCTTCCTACATATACAAGCATGGAATCCAAAACTTTTACATACTTTAACAATGGTTTTATCTTGAGTTATGTTTGCATATATTACTATGAAACCAATTAATGAATTAATTTATTTGAATTGCAGAAAATTGTGAAAAGACACATTGTGCAAAGACACGAATATCATTAGATTTTTTTTTTCTCTATGGTCTGTCTCATTTTCTTGTGGTAGGATCTTTGCAGAATATATTCAAGCCTTATTAAAATAAGTCCGCAAGTGTGTTGGATCCCTGCTAGGTGCAATGTGAGAGAGAAGTCTTATTCCAATTTAACTTTAGCAAGCAAATCATGACATGTCACACAACACATTGTATTTAATTTTTTTTAAACTAAAAGAAAATTCACAGCAAAGAAAGTCACTGAGAGGGACATTTAACATTTAAATGTGTATATATATATAATGGGATCAGGAGTTACTAGCCTCTGGCTTAAGAACCAAAATTGTTCTACTATGAGATCTTGCATTCTTCTTCTCCAAAAGGTTGTGGAGATCTGATCAGGAGCCTTTCCTTTGTGACCACCAGACTTGTAATGCCTAGTTTCTCCCTGAAAGTGGACTACAGTAGAAAGGCTAAATTCCAGCTCAGATAACTCCACAATTATCCAGTAATATCAGCAGAACTAATTGTGGAAAACACAGTGTGTTTGTACATGTTCTCGTTTAAACTGTAAACACAAAGTTACTAATCAAACACTGACCTCAATCCTCCCCTGTTGTACCATGATCATGCCTTTAGATAGTCCAGATTACGCTCTTTGCAGGGCTTGATTTCACATTAGGCAGAGAGAGGGAAGGTGCCTTTTCTGTACGGGGCACCTATTTTTAGCACTTATAATGTGCCTTTCAAAAAAAAAAATTTACAATTATATTCTTAATTTTAGTTGTGCATTGCATGACAAGTTTACAGAAACATTTCTCAAAAGACATGAACAATAGTCGATATAGGTATAACGTGAAATGTTGAGGAAACTGCACATTTTTAGTAATTAAGAAGCATTAGGAACACAAGACTACGTTGATGTGACACAGAAAGAAAATGGCAAGGTGCTTCATAGAACTGTGGGAGAATAACAAAACATAGAAAAACCGCTGGTATTTCAGCTATAGCATGTATTCAAAATAGCACAGGGGAGTTGAAAAGCAAGGGTATGTCTAGGACTACTATGAGGCGCTGCACACTATTTAATCATATAGAGTAATGGCCAAGCATGGTAGGTAGTGGTTAAAAGGCATAATAAAAACCTAGGTCGAACCTAACCCAGTGGTGTATCCTGGTTTTGTGCTGCCCTAGGCAGGACAAAACTCAGGCGTAACCCCCCACACGCGACCCCCACCCATCCCTTCCCCCCCCGCACGCGACCCCCACCCATCCCTTCCCCCGCCTTCTAAATACACACACACTCACTGACAGATACGCGTGCACTAGCTAACAGAAACACAAACTCACTGACACACACAGTCAAACACACACTCACTAGCAGAGAGACACTCACTCACACACACACACTAACAGACACACACACTCACTAATAGACACACACACACTCACACTCACACTCACTAACAGACACACACACACACTAACAGACAAACTCACACTCACTAACAGACACACACACTCTAACACACACTCACTAACACATGTACTTTTTAAACCCCCCCCTCCTCCAGCCTCCTTACCTTTGGGAGTGCTGGGGAGGGAAGGGGTTCTCTATCTCCCTGGTGGTCCAGTGGCTGCTGGGTGGGCGGCATTGGCGGGCGGGCGGCTGACGAGGGAGCTCTTCCTGTGAGCTGACTGCTCAGCTCCCTCGCGCGCCGCAGAGTGAGGCTGGGAGCCGGGATATGACGTCATATCCCGGCTCCCAGCCTCACTCTGCGGCGCGCGAGGGAGCTGAGCAGACAGCTCACAGGAAGAGCTCCCTCGTCAGCCGCCCGCCCGCCAATGCCGCCCAGCATGTCTGTTAGCCGCGAGGCTAACAAGACATTTGCCTTGGGCATTTGGGGGGCGGCTTTTTTTGCCGCCCCCTGAAAAATGCCGCCCAAGGCAAATGCCTTGTTTGCCTCGCGGCTAAAACGCCCCTGACCTAACCCATGCTAGCTAGGACTGCATCCTGAATATGAGTAGAGACCAAACCCAGGGGTTGTTTTGGAGGGGTCAGGGGGTGCACTAGAACAAGCACCTGAAGTAATCTGGCCCTGACTCTTTAAGTCAGGGCAAAACATTTCCCTAAACTTTGCATCCCATCCATTATTTTCAATTGCTGCACAAGGAAGAAGGCTGGCTCAAAGGGAAGGTAGTGTGACAACCCTCAGTTTTTGTTGCACAAATATATTTATTAACATTGTAAGAACTAGTGATAAGTGGGTGTTTGAATTAAACCTATATTTCTTTCATGATTATATCTGCAGTTTCCGTTTTTCCTTTTATTGATGACACAAGATGCCGCTGGGGCATGGGCATGGCATCTCATGGGGTCAATTGGGTAGAGCCCAACAAGTCATGGGGGGCAGCTTCCTATGATCTTCAAGGAGGTTCCTTCAAGTCCAGGCTGTTATTTAATAGCTCTTACTTAAGCTTAATAGGGGATGTTAAGGACGCCTGGCACCATAACCTCTACAGCAAGCATGTCAAACATGCGGCCCGCTGCCCACAGTGAATATATTTGAGGCTCGCCTGCCCTGGGGCTGCTTTCAGCTGTGGCTGCGACCAGCAAGACAGGAAAAATATTTCCTGATTCTTGCTCTCCCGGCCACGAGAGGGCAGAGTGTCTGTGTGTCAGAGGAGCGTCTGGCCTGCTTCAGCTGGGCTGGAGCTGGAACTGGAGGATGGACAGCAAATTGTAAGGTAGGAGAAGAGGGGCTTTGGGAGGGGTGCAGTGTATTATTTTGTGGGAGGGAGGGCAGTGTACTAATCTGAAGGAGGGGGCACTGTATTGATTTGGGGAGGGAGGCAGGGGGCCAGTGTATTCATTTGGGGGAGGGAGGGGACCAGTGTAATCAATTGAGAGAGGGCAGTGTACTAATCTGAAGGAGGGGGCCAGTATATTAATTTGAGGGAGGGAGGGCACTGTATTCATTTGGGGGAGGGTGCCAGTGTATTAATTTGAGGGCGGGAGGGGGACTGTATTCATTTGGAGGAGGGTGCCAGTGTATTAATTTGAGGGAGGAGGACAGTATATTAATTTGAGGGAGGGCACTTTATTCATTTGGGGGAGGGTGCCAGTATATTAATTGAGGGAGGGAGGGAGGTCAGTGTACGAATTTGAAGGAGGGGACACTGTATTAATTTGGGGGAGGGGGCCAATGTGTTAAAATGGGGGAATGGCAGTGCAGAGTGGGGGCAGTGTATTATTTTAAGAGAGGGAAGGGGCAGTGTATTAACCTAAGGGAGGGGGCCAGTGTTTTAAATTTGTGAGTGGTGGCAGTGTAATAATGGGAGGGAGGGGGCCATTGCACTAAATTGGGGAAAGGGGGGGGGGGGCAGTGTTTTAAAATAGAGTGGTGGGAGTGGGGACAGTCTATTAAATTACAGTGGAGGTGCAGTGTATTAGATTGGGTGAATGGTGTATGGTGGAGTGGAGGGAGGAGGGGCAGTGTGTTAGATTGGGTCTGCATGGAGGCGCTGAACGCTCCCCATGGAGATGCTGATTGGCCACGCAGCTTTTTGCCACACATGCACAATAGCCTCCCAATGGTTTCCTATGGAAAAGCATTGGATTGGATTGAGATCATCAAGTTTGATGATCTCAGGCAAAGTGAAGAACACACTCATAGAACTTTAAAATCAACAAGATAACGTCATTTGTTTTTTACAGCTGTGCAACAGCATACATCCACCATTTCAGTCCCATTACCAAACATTCCTTAATATGTCAAGGTAGTTGGACTGAAACCAGTGGCGTACACACAATCCATGGGGCCCTGGTGCAAAACTGATCTATGGGGCCCCCTTTCCTTCCTCCTCCCCCCTACACCCCCACCAACAGGCACACTCACACACAAACATACATACAGACACATACATACACACAGACACACACACAAGGCACACATACATACAAAGACACTTACAGATACACACACACATAGGCACACACACACACAAACATACAAAGACACATACATACATACAGAGAGACACACACATATGCATACACACACACACGACACATACATACATACATACATACAATACAAACAGACAGGCACCCAGAAAGACACACACACACACACATACAAACAAACACACACATATACAAAATATTTTAGTCACCCTCCTGTTTCCTACCTTTTAGGTGCAGGAGGGTGACCTTCCCTGGGGTCCAGTGGTGACTCAGGCTGGTGGGACTCACCTCTTTTTCACCCGCACGGGCTCTGTGTGATTGCTGGGAGGACTGACTGGGGCAGTCACTTCCTCCTAGCAGTGATGTCATAACAAGGGGCTCGGTTGTGCTGTTAAAGCACCCAGTGCTGACCCAGTGCTCTAACAGCATGGGCCACCCGATGGACCCCTTGAATGGCAGCCCTGGCGGTTTGCTGCGCAGACCGGGGCCGCAAAACATGGTGGCTGGTACAGGGTTGCAGGGGTCCGCATGGCGGTCACAGCTGCGACCCCTATATGTACGCCACTGACTGAAACGTTGTTTATATGCAAATGCATTTCTTAAAATAAATTCTCTCTTTTGTTTATTTTGAAGCCCTACGAGCGTGAGGACGTCCAGTGTCAGTTAGGCAACTTTTTTATACTGTACTTTTCTAAATAAACCTACGTTTCTATGGAAACTGAAGTTTGTTTGTTCTTGCGTTTTTAGTCTGATAGAGAATAAAAATAGAGAAATCTCATTACATTTTCAGTAAACATTCCTCATTCCTAGACACACTGAAATGCATCTTTTACTTATCTGGAAGGTAGAGTTGCTATCAATTTTCTTATTATAAAACTGGAAATATGAAACTGAATATTATGAAACAGATTATGAAATTAATGAATAAGTCATTGTGGTGCACCATGTACGGCATCGTCATCAGCCCTTCATCATATCATTGATCATACCATATACTGTACTTTGAAGATGTAAAGTTATCTATGATAAAGAAAAGACAGATCTGAATGTATACACCATAGTGGCATTTCCATTTTATTTTTTAATGACATGGGGAACCCCCGATATCCCTTCAATGAGGTCTATCTAATAGTCCCATCCACAGCTGTATAGCTCCTTGTGATATTATATATAGCATAGAGGGGGGGCACTGCTTATCCATGAACAGAATGTTTGAAAGGAAACTGTCATCTGAAAATTGCAATGTTTAATATTACAGAAGAAATAGAGTAAACGCCATCCTGCGAAACACTAATCGGTGTGTGTTATAAGCATTTCTCTTATGTGATTTAATGCTTACCAGCTATGTGCCTGTTTTTTTTTATATCATAAAATATACAGCGCCAGTTGTTTAATATCAAACTACTGAATTCTTTACTGGAGAGGTCACACCTGTGATTTCAAATTACATCTTTAAAAAATATATAATAATATCATAGCATCTGTGAGTTTAATCATTTTGGAGGTTTAACTAATGTGCTTGTTGGATGTCTGATGTCAACACACACAGAATCTTTGCAACAGGCATCCAATGGTAGCACAGCCCCCCTCTGTGCCCTCCTTGTCCTGCCCTCTGCCATTCAGCCCCTTCCGCCAGGGGGTGAAGATATCAGAGAGGGGGCGGTGGAGGGATCAGGCTACTGGGAGAACTTGGCTTCTATGCTGGAATGAAAGTAAGTTGTGGATTTATTTTAATTTAAAAAAATATATATATAGCTATGAAAACAGTGTTTTTTGGTTGGAGTAATCCTTTCATTTACCCCCCATGGAACCTTTGCTTACAATGACTCCCTGAGCATGCTTTGGTACAGAACCTTCCAAACACACTGCCAAGTACATATAACCATGACCCAACATCACGGATTACGCTGCCAGGGACGTGGAACTGCTCTGCAGATTAGTGTGTTTTTTTTACTTACCTCTGCTGCAATACTCACACCAATAAACACTTCAGTAATATTTAAAGGAGTGAGGGAATGGAGAGACTTCATCTTAACCCCTTAAGGACCAAACTTCTGGAATAAAAGGGAATCATGACATGTCACACATGTCATGTGTCGTTAAGGGGTTAAACGTTGAAACTATTTGTGTTCCAAATAGAATTCTTTATCTCTATACAAAAGGTGGCTTATCTTGGCCTTGAACTCTCATCCATCTTTTTCCCTATTCCTTGCTCTCTCTTTCCTTGGCAACTGTCACACGTACATTGGGATGTCCTACTTGGCTTCATCCCCCGTTTTCTGCCCGCCCCTTTGAATAGCATGTCATGCAGACGTGAACATCTGGCTATATAATACTTCTGCAGCACAGTTAGTTTCAAGAACTTCAGCCACAAGTCCGTCTGAGTCATTTCAAACTTCAAGAACAGAAAGCAAGAGGTTTTGTGCTACTGTCTCTTTCAGGTAAGTTTACTTTTAAACATGTACATCTTTTTCATTCAAAAATCAGATAGTTCTCTGCACAAAAAAAACAAAAAGATCTAACTAACATAACCACTTGTTATGGACAACTGCTGCAACAGCGAAATATACTATTCAATTATTGATTTATCACTTTGCAGCTGAATATTTGAATTATAAATATTTAATACATTAATATGGAATGGTTACTGTTATGTTGAATGGACAAACATGAATATTTCACATTACACAGTATAGTCAACATTTACGAGGTGCAACAATTTATCTATACAGAACAGTTATATTTCTAGACGTGTTCTGCATTGCTATCAATAAACGAAAAATGTTTAGGATTACAACTTGACACTATACAAAAATCTGTTTGCTGAGTTTTTAGAAGTGATTGTCTTTACTAATGAAAAGTTTAAATTAAGCATATATTGATTCTTCCCTGCTATTTGCAAAATGTTTTTTTTTTGTATGTATTTTTCCTATACTTCTGAGCCTATTACATATACTTCTATATACATCTTTACACATAGTTACATATAAGGTAACATGCTTCATCAGCATGGACCTAGCTCTTTGCAGCCACATTTAGTCATAAGTACCTCTGGGGCCCTCTAGGTGCAAGGAATTAATATATATCTCTGCAATAAAGTTTGGGGCTCAGAAATCGTTACCTTACCCAAATAACCAAATAGACGTCATTTCATAACCACGTAAATTACAGGCTGTAAGCTCTATCTGGTGTATTTATGAACTAACTCTGTTAGATTAACCCTGAGAGTGTCAGGTAGGTGAGCAATGTAACGGCAATTGCATAGAAAGTTTCAAACAACAGACGGTTATCTCTGTTTAATCTGACGTGGTAGTATGCTGCTGTTAAAATCATTATTGAAAATGTAAAAGAATATCAATAAATAATATAGAGCGTAACATTTGCTACAGAAGTGGTCCCTAACCCATTCCTCAAAGAACACCAATGGTTCAGGATTTAGGTGAATCTCAGTATAAATATTTCTATAGGAATACTGGCAAATCCTGGTCTATTGGACTGGGTAGGAAATCTTTTTTTATAGAGATTACTTTTTAGCTGTTAAGCCATTTTTGTGATGTTCTTTTGCTGTAAACACATTTAAAGCACTGCCATTCAAGAATTGGCAAGTTGTTATGAAAGCTCTGAAAAATAGAATTAAAACTAATGTAAAACGTATAGTGTAACAACCGTCTGAAAAGAGAATACATGCTTTAACTCTCAAGTGACATGTGAGCAGCAATGCCAGGTATTTGTCACTTCCATTGTCTATTGCTGGGTTTTGATTACACATATTTCTAATGGATCATATCAATATTTATCTAGAACTGTCTGTTTATATATATACTTCTAATTGTTTTAATTAAATAAGTCATTAATGTTCTTTGCAGATTACAAAAATCCACGCAGATTCATCTAGTGATCTGATGCTGAGAATGGACACAACTAATGAGACAATGGCAAGGGTAGATGAAAACTCGGCGCCGGATGTGACACAACAGTCCAGCGATGGACAAAGCACTGAATACCTCTACATCTTAATAGTCATGTCTTTCTATGGTATATTCCTGATGGGAATCATGCTGGTGTACATGAGATCCAAAAGAAGGGAGAAGGAGTCCAATCTATTGATGCTCTACAAGGACGAGGAGTGGCAGTGGATGGAAACCAGAAAGAGCACACCAATCTTGTCTGTGCCTAAGTCCTTTCAGAATTCTACCATACTCAATGTTCTCCAGGAAAGTGTGGTTCCAGCCCTGTCTTGTTCTTCTTGCCAAATAGAAGGGAGCAGCTTGAGTTCAGAGTCATCATGCTCTGATGTACCCTTCACCATAAAAGAGGAAGTTACAGAAAGTCTTCTTCAAGAGGGACATGAGCCTGAAGATAAAGCGGAGAAGAGGCAGATTTCCTAGCGATGCTGAGATCAAGGAAATTAATTGGTTTATGAATCTTTAGGCTCTGTGTACATGAGGCAGTAAACCTGTCTTGTAGAGCCAAGTTGGCAGAGAGTTCCTTCTACTGAGGGAAAGTGCAACTGCAGAGAACACTCAACCGTGTGAGTGTGTAATGGCTTAAAGCAGTGTTCACTCAGTTTGAACAGAACTGAAACATCTTCAAGTGTTTGACAACACATAATAGACTTGGCCTGGTCTGCAAAAAGTGACAGGTGATACCCTGTTTAGGGTCCCCAGTGGGACATTTATACCATGTATGAGTGAGGATGTCATACAACGGAACTGAGCAATGGGAAAAAAAAGTTTGTTAAAATATATTATTTATGTGCATAAGGTCACTTTCCAATAAGTTTGGACTATAGTAATATCTAACCATATTAAGGTTTGATGCTATTGTCTCTGGAGCTTGCAGAAGATGGGAGAACTAGATCACTCACAGCTGTTATAGAGTCACGGAAAGTGAAAAGAACGAAGTTACTCTGTATTTTTAGTTCCTTGCTCAGTGCTTGGCTTTGTTTTATGCTCAAAGTAATAATACGTGATCCTGGTGTGGAAAGATTTCAAGTCACAGATTATAATCAACAAATTCTACAGCTTCTTGGCATGATTCGCTATCTAAGGATTGTAATGTTCCCATAAAAAATGTTTGGATGATATATCAGAAGGCCCATCGGAACCTTTCATGTCTTCTGAGAACTGGAACGAAGTGTAAAGCTGGGGCAAAGTTCTAAAAGTGTAGCATTTTACAGGAATTTTCCATTGGTTTCCATGGTAATTTCTCTGCTTTTAGAACACTGCACTTCAATTTTTCTCCATTAATAAACCCAATGAATTAATTAATTCATGTAGACAATTGCACCTTGATGACTCCCCTATCCTGAGACCAGAATCAAAATTAAATATATCATATGACCTATTCCTAGATATTCAAGCATAATTCTCAATCTTTAAGAATATGAGCAGAGATAATACCACTCGATGAATCTGTAAAGAGGAAGTCAGTACATAGATGCTACAAATTCCAAATGATTCTGCACCAGGATTATAAAATAATAAAAAAGTGACTTTAACTTGGGATGACATTTAATTTTAACATAGTAACAAAAGTAGGCTGACATTGTAAGCATTAGATCATCTATTGAAATTTTATTTTGCCTGTTGAAATATAAATTATTCTGCATGTAAAATTAACCAAGTTTACAAAAATATCCAGACAAGTTTACAGAAAATCCAATTCGCTTGCAGTGACCACGTAATAGCCATTAGAAATCCAGTCATTTACATTATATTTTTTATAAAGAGGATGCATTATCTGCAAATCTTATTAAATCTTGATTTAATATTTTTTTATAACACTTTTTAAATGAGTTAAATGATTTATTATTATGACAAAAATTTTGAAGATTTTCATATTTTTTGACAAATTGATATTTTCATATATGATGTATTTTTTTTGTCGTTTAAAAATGTTGAAAAAAAATCATTTTAAAAGTTGATCCAAAAATATTAAATCATTTGAAATCATTTGAAAAGTTTATTCAAAAAGTATTCTAAAGCCTATCTTGGGGGAAGGTTGAAACGTCATAGCTGCAATTCAAGGACAGAGTGTATGGAAAATTTCCTCCCCAGCGTACAAATTACACAGCTTCTAGATAACAGACAAAAAAAAAATATCTGCAACCTCTCCAAATGAATGTTTTCAAAGCAAAGTACAAAACTATTAGTCTGGCAAAAATGCTCGAGACAGTGGGATCCATGCAATAGTTTTACTTACTCAAAATCTTTGGTAATAACCTTTCGCATATCTGACTATTTAGACAAAAACTTTACAGCTGCAGGCATACCGCAAATCACGGTTTAGTGAATAGATAGATATATTTGTGTTACCGGCATGAGCTGTATGTGTATATGAGCATTCCTCAATTTTACACATAAAACCCCATCAAAAACCATTTCCAACAGTTCCATTCAAACAGTGAAAGACCTACAACACTTATCCAATGAGTACAAACTAGATTAGTAAATGTGTGTAATGTCATCTTGCTTTCAACATTAATGTGTTTTGTATGAGTTGTCTTTTGTGTTTTTGTGCGTTTTTTTTTTGTTTTTTTAAATAAGTGACATGATGGGGGTTCTGTTTGTCCCAAATTATAAGTAATTGTGTGACATATTACTTATTCATCCCATTGCAGCTACAGTTCCACATCTCAAAATGGTGTGTACAAGTATTTTCTTCTAGTAGTATGTTAGATATGTGTAAATTGAGCATGTACATATATTTGTTATTTAAATAAATGACTTTGTAAATTTGTATGAAATGTGATATGTGTCATTTTTCGGACTAGCTCTTACATTACGTGTCCACTTGAAAACTTTGGGGCCACCTGAACATTTAAACTTTTTAATTGCAAAATGAAATTGCAAAAGGAATGTGATTGTGGCTTTGAATAAGATATATGATTTTTAAGTAACTCTATTGGCACCCAGACCACTTCCTGTCTATTTAACCTGCAACTGTAAAACCGAAAGGAAATGTTTACACAACTGGCATGAACTAGAGGTGATTCCCCCAATAGCCGAGTTAAACCTGGCAATTCAATCAGATGGTCATTGAATTGGCCGAGACTATCAACATTAGTGATCTCAATCAAAGAGGCAGAGGGGCATCGTGGGACTGGCACAGCAAGGGCTGTAAGATAAATAAATGTAACTTTTTAAACTCTCAAATGGCGGGGGAAAAACTAAAATAGGTAGTTAAAAATTACATGTTTGTATTCCTAACACTCTTGTATAGCCCAGATATTGCACTCAGATATTTCACAAGCAGGAGTTCACAATAACATCAACATTAGCTAGTGTGCTTAAAAATACTAGCCAGCACCTGGTGTGAGATATCCACAAGAACAATTATGTTTTTGTTGTTGTTTTTTTTTTTTTTAGCATAGCTTAAAATACACTACAAAGTAGTAAAGGCCATGTCAAGGCAATCATTATTGGCAATCTGTGGTTTACATTGGATTGGGACACTAGGTGCTATATATATCATGCATTATGGGGGGCAGGAGTATTCTAGAGATGTATGCACATGTTTGTATTGGTAATGGTTTTGAGTAACCACAGACTCATATGTATAGGCAAAGAAGTCTTTGTGACAGTGTTGGTACTCCCTTAGCAACAACTATCATTTTAGAACAAAACATGGAATCAGGACAGGATTTCCTATTATGCAGAGGAGGCCCCCGCCTACAAATGCATGCCCTTTGATGGTGCCAGTTTAAGGCATTTATGTGCCATTTTGGAGCCTAATTAGGGGAAGATGAGTATGAGAAGCCTTGGCCAGTGTCCTCTGCAGTCCAATCAGCCTCCTTAGCATGGTGGGAGAGTGCCAGGAACAGTGATAGAGGGTGTAAAATTAAGTGTCTGTGTGTGAGGCTGGATGGACAGGAAGTGGAAAGGATCACTTCCCATCTGCCCACTAACAGCCTCTCACACAGGAAATTATTTGCAGGAGAAACGGGGACCTTAATCCAGCGCCGGGCTCCCTCGGCGCTGGTGACCTCTCCTCCCCCGCCAACGTCAGCTCCCTCTGCCGACGTCAGCGGAGCCGAATGCGCATGCGCTGCAAGTGTCGCGCGCATTCAAAGTGTCCACAGGAAAGCATTTCTCAATGCTTTCCTATTGAAGCTCTGCGCGATGGAGGCGAAATATGGAAGACTACTACCACTAGAGGCTGGATTAACCCCATATGTAAACATAGCAGTTTCTCATTGAGCTTAAGTGGTCTGGGTGACCATAGTGTCCCTTTAACCCCGCATGTATTTACACAGCTGCATAGAAGAATCAAAGGGCCATGATACAAACAATATCTTGATATTTCTCTACTTTTATACAAATTATAGTTTACGTTCTAGTCAAAACACTTTCTTCCAGTGCGTCATTATATATCTACCCATTTCCCTATTGTTCTCTTCTTGTTTTAACAATTGCTAGTATTGAAATATTACATATAGATTTGAAAGAGATACAATAGTTTGTTTTCTAAGCACTGAGATGACCGGCGCACTGTGGGACTAATAAAGTTGTAATTTCGGTATTATTCAGCTGATCTCATGGAGTTTTGTAGCTCAGATTAGACAATATTTTTAGATTCAGTTCTGCAAGGATTTTATCAATTTGGCATGCTTTATGTAGCGTTAATACCCAAGACGCAGAGTGAAAACCACCAGAACAACAGAGACAGATAGAAAGTCCCTAAACCGGTCCTTAGAATGGCCGAATAAAATAGAAACTACAAGAAATGCCCTAAAAGGTACGTGTGCGTTGAGCTCTCTTGTTTAGAGCTCTTCCAACCTCATGGTGCCGGTACACATGCGCCTCCTCTTTAAAAGGGGCGGGCGCCTAGCGACCAGTGTCTCTGATGCTTAATGCATACTTTCCCGGCGTGGGAGCGGCGGTCTGACCGATCCCGATGTCGGCAGATCGGCAGACCGATAAGGTAAGTGGCTGAATGCTTACACTTTACCTGCCAAGTTTAACTAATTTTAATCAAATTCTTGAGAATAGACGTTAAGTACAGGCCCGTATGCGCATAAAAGAAGTATGCTAGGTTAATTGCACTCTAATAAGAAATAAATACATGAAAATCATAGCTACTCATTAAAGTTAGTTCATTGTTTACAATATATTGGATTTGGCCTCACTGTAACCCATGGCTGTGAAAGTAATTAAAAACAGATTTTGTAGTAAAAAATATATATGTGGATAAAAACAAAAGGTGATCAGTTTGATACAACAAGCTGGTCTCTACAGATTGCCTCTGATTGAGGGTCTTTAAATAAAATGTTGTGGACAGTGACCCTTTGTATTATTGTTTTATATTTGAGGTCTCTATAGTTTCAAAAAGCTTTAAAATGTTTCAATGATATTATATTAATTTTTTTTATACATTCTTTATTTATTGTGCAAAAGAGTTGTACGTGTAAAGTGGCAAATGCTATTGCAATGAAAGATATATATATATATATATACTTGAAACATGTCCATACACTTGTCCACATATGGACAATGCCCATTTTATATAAATGTTTGGCAAATTGAGCGCCAGAAAAGAAAAACAATAACTGATGTAGGTAAGGGTGCAAACCAAATATTGGGACCTGTAGGGAATGCATGCATTCCAAGATAGAACTTTCAGAGGTGCAGACTGAATCAGGATGCTCTTTGACCCCTGAGTGTGGGTGGTGCAATGACGCATGTGCAGACAGCAATTTAAGAAATCAAACTAAACAATTTAATATAAGATTTGAGAGAAGATGATAAAAAAGACAAATGTTGATATAGACAAATATGCAGTTAACTCAAACCCTGAACATTAATTTCAGTGTGGATAAATATACAGTGAATTTAAATTCCTTCCATTTCATCCCCTCTCAGTGGGTGAGGAACTAAAGAAAGGACTACAGCTGAAGTGTCCCAGGTGTCGAGTCAGGACCAAAGCCTGTTGAAAGGGAACAAAGTCCATCATAGAATAGCGTCTATAAAGTCTGCCTTCTAAGTTGGCCAAAAAGGAACAAGAGGGTCCCCACCAGTAGGTTATAACAGCTTTATTTGTTGGAAGGATCTTCTTCACTCGATAGTAGACCTACAGAGGTTTTGGAGAAATTAAAATTGTGATGTCTCAAACGTAAGGGGAACTTTTTAGCACCTCCATTACTTCCATCTTATGCCTGAACAGTTGAACTTATACTGAAACATCTCTGAAAGCCTCCACATGTCCTCTTGGTGATTTACAATACGCTGTAGTTGTTCTGATAAATATAGTGTCCCTTTTAGCATACAATGCAGACTTATCACAGACAGACAGAGCCATAAATCTTTTTTTATTTAACTGTGTTCTATTTCAAAGTCATTGTTATGTAAATATAGATTATTTAAACTTATTTTTATAGGTATGTCTACCTGATTGCCATACCATAAAAAAAGCGATATGTAGTCAGAATTTTATAAATGTTATGCTAAAAAAATAAAAAAAAATAAAAGGAAAAGAAAAGAAAACAATCAAAGTGCAAAGCAACTTGACAGATCCACTTTAGTATCCTGGGGAAGGGGGTGTGGTGATAGATACTAAGGTGCCAGTTTGGCTGCTAATGTCTGTTGGCACTACGCCCCCTTGGGATTACTTGTCCACAAAGGAATTAGTAGTACAGTCATTCGCTTTTAGATTGCATGAATAATAGTGTTGACAATGATCACATGCGTATTATCATGTACTTACATGGTTTTATTTAAAATGACTTAAGGGACAATTAAATCAGCAAATTAAGAGTTGTTCAATTGGAACATAATTTTGTAATGTCACCCTGTATTGTGAGCATCCCCCAAAAATTTCTGCACTTAACAGAATCTCTGTAAACTGTGAGATATAAAGACAGAAGTACTTAAAATATCTAAAACAAGACGAGAAAAAAAAATACTTTGTTAATGTCTTTTCTGCAGTGTGGAGTTTGAAACAGTCAGGAGTCAGATTCTGATCTGGAGAAATATGTGAAAGTATAAAGCACAAACAATAAAGTTTAATAACCATGAGAAAACACAGATCCTACATAAAGATTAATTTTTGTTCTACTGCCAGAATTCTGTTCATCTTAAAGTTCCACCGCGAACAAAAGAATTAGCGTGGGTGTTAAAATAAATACGCAAGAAAAAATTAAATAAAATGGGAAAAAGATTTCTATAGAATGGTCTCATCCACAGATGAGAAAAATACAGAAAAATACAGAAAAATACAGATCGTTGATTTAAAAAAATATATATATTTATTTTCAATGGCAGAAAGTACATAGTATCAACAGTACTGTGACTTGTGCAAAAGCCAAAGCGTGGTTCAGACAGATTTGGCTGACATAGATTGTGGCTTACATGCATTCTGTCAAGGTTTTTGACCTTTTGTCTTACAAAGAAAGAACCAGTTAACATTTACGAGTTAGACCCTTGCATCAAAGACCGCCTCGGGCTGTTGGGGTCGTTCATGTGCATTCATGTCGGTGCTCCCCCCTTATTGGCTCTCAGATTCGAGCCATCCTGTGTCCCCTTCCCCTTGGCTCCCTGGGTCCCCACCGGCCAACAGCCGAGGCTCCTTTCTGGGCTCCAGAGGGGCTGTGACCACGGCCAAGGCTGAGCTCCGCAGGGCAGGGGAAGACTGAGCTCCGCAGGGCGGGGGAAGACTGAGCTCCACAGGGTGGGGGAAGGCTTTCAAAGCCTTCCCCCGCCCTGCAATTAGGCTCAGAACACAC